CACCGTCACCGACCTCAAGCCTCCCCACCGTCAACTCCAGAGTCGTCTGCCACAAACGCCGTCCTCTGCCCCACAAATCGTCCGCCACAACAGCTGTCAAGCGCGAGGAGCCGCCGTCAACCGCCGTCAACCGGAAACCTCATCGCCGTCAACTGGAAACCTCCTGAACTGTTCACCGTTGAACGAACTGCCCTCCTGAAGGTTCTAAGGTCCAACTTCATCCAAGCTTAACACATATGGCTGAAAGGTATGTAATGTTTTTCAATTTTTTTGGATTGATATTTTCTTGGTGTGTAATTTTGGTGTTGTTTGTCATTGTGTTTGTCTGACCACTTTGAACTTGTCTGTGCATGGTTATTTGGTTGTGTGTGTCAGTTAATTTTGAATTCTTGAAAATTGTCTGTAATGTCATTATAGTGGTCTGGCCAGGTGTATGAGATGTCTGTCATTGGAAATGGATTGTCTGGCAAGCCATTGTACTATTGTAGTATTCTATGTAGATGTAATTTGTGATTTGGGATGTAACCAATGCAGCATTTCAGATGTCTGGCAAGTTTGCTTAATGAGATGTTTTAAATGTAAATTTTGTAAGCTAAGAATGCTTTATAATGTATGAGTTTTGAATGTTATTTTTGAGTTATGAATGGTCTATACACTAAGTTATATGTCAAACTGTCAAAGCATACTCTTTGCTCTGCTTTCAGCTTTCTGAAATATGAAAGTTGATTTATAAGCTTTCTGGTTTAAAGTATGAACTCCAAGTGTAAAATATCCTTTTTACCAGATGACCTTCTTTTACTTATCAGTTTTTCTTGCATTAATGTCTAACAAATTTAGACATTAATTTGTTCAACCATATAACCTTCCTACAAAATACTCAACACAAATTTATACATTAATATGTTCAACCATATAACCTTCTTACTAAGGACAGACATAGTTGTTTGGCAAACCATTAAAATTGTCTGGCTCCTCATTTCGACATAGACTTGTTGTGCATGTGATATGAAATTGTTTATATTGGTGTGTAGTTGTCTGTCCTGTGAACACACTTGTCTGTCAAGTGATATACAATGTCTGTCCTTCTTTCTGAGTTGTCTGAAATGTTTGATTTGTATTTGTGTTAATTATACAGGTCATTTGAAGTACAAATTCCAGTTCGCAAGCACTTTCCAGCCCAGTTATCTGTGTGCTCATATTTCAGAGAGGTTGTAAGCTTGGTAAAAGGTGCGCTGACAAAGGATCAATTGCAAGAATTTAGGAATTTGCCATGGGGCCACCTACTGTCCGTGCCAGACATACAATTTTCAGGCCAAATCATCCATTCTCTACTGCTGAGGCTAGTGAAGGACCAACCTGCAGACGAGCTGTGGTTCTTGATTCAAGGGAGGCTATTGAAGTTTACGTATGCTGATTTCTGTCGCATATCCGGTCTCAAATCATCAGCCGAAAATCCTGTCTTCAATGATGATGATGAAGTGCATGGGACGCTAATTGACAAGTACTTTCGTGGATCCACGAACATTACGTACAAAATGTTGAAGGACAAGTTGAAGTCATTTAGGCGTACAAAGAGTGGAGATTCTGTGAAGCTATTGTCCGTGTGTTACATTTTGACGGTTTTACTTGCTCGGGATAATAAAACCAAGATAAATTTGGTGTATTTGAAGTGGGCAGACGAGTTCGAGAAATTTAAGATGTATCCATGGGGTAGGGAGTCCTATAACACCATGATTGACAACTTCAAAAGTATCATGAAAGAGCAGCCCACCAGGTTCAGGCAAAGCAAGGCCACAACTGCTAAGTTTACTCTATATGGATGTCCTTTTATACTACAGGTATTTTTCTCATTCTTTGTAGTTTAATGTTGAGACAGACATTTCTATGTGCACACAGACATTTGTGTGTGTAAACTTTTGGCAGACAGACATATTAATTTTATAATTTTTTTTAGGTTTGGGCGTATGAAAACGTGCCTAACCTAGGAGAACACTGTGCTGAACGTATTGGTAATGAAGAAATTCCTATGCTAAACTGGAAGGCCGATGGATTCTTTCACGCACGCAAGTTGAATGAATTGGTGTTCAAGGACAATGATGATGTATTATATCTGAATTTGTTGATTTTTGCATTCAAATAACATCTTATTTTAGTCTTTAAGATTCCTGTATAGGAGGAACATGATTCTGAGAATGATAACGAGGATGAAGAAGTTCGGGACAAGGGTTTCAAAGACAAAGTCATGGATGAGATGCAAGCACTCCGGGAGCATGTGGCTGCTTTGGAAAGCAGGTTGAAGTTGATGGAAGAGAGATTCAGTGCACAGGGTAGCGTGACAGAGAAGGCGACTGAGGTAAATAATATTTGATGCCATAAAATTCTTTCTGATTCTTTCATTGGGAGTGTTGTGTTAATACAATGCTTGTGCAGATTGGTTCTAAGAATAAGGTCATGGAAATGGAAGTTGATGATGATGAGGTTGAAGATAAAGACCAAGTTGAAGAAGATGTTGAAAACGAGCCAACACACGTTGAAGAAGTAAGTCAATCTGTCTGTCCATCCAATACAAGATGTCTGTCTACAGACATTTTAAAACTGAATTTATTTTCGTGGTGGATTTCATGTAGATGGATGCAGCAGTAGGTGAACCAGCTGTGACTGATGTTACTACAACTTCCAATCATATCATCTCACCCATCCTTATTGAAGTAAGTTAATATGTATGTCATACAAAATTGAATTCTCTATTGTTAAACATTTGAACACTCATGCACTTGGTTGATTTAATGTAGGTGGGTGCTGTTGTGAGTGAACCATCTGGAGAAATGGCTGATGAAAACCATGCCACGGACTGTTATGTTATTACACCTTCTAAGCAGATCATATCACCCGCTGTTCTTGATGTAAGTCAATATGTCTGTCTTATACATAAAAATTTCTGTCTACAGACATTTTCACACTGTCTTGCTAATGACAAATTTGACATGTAGGTGACTGATGTTTTGACTGAACTATCTGGACCAATGGAGGATGCAAATAAAGTCAGGGAGTTTGATGTTGGTACAACTGCGAAAGATATCATATCACCGGCTCTTCTTGAAGTAAGTCAATATGTCTGTCTTATATACTAAAATGTCTGGCTACAAACATTTTGACACTGTCTTGCTTATCATGATTTTCATTTAGGTGGTTGATGCTGAGTTGGCATCATCAGGCCCAATTGATGATTCTTATTGGGATGAGGTTGTGGCAGATTTGCAAAGTGCTCCCATTAAATCTCAAGCACCACAACAAATGTCAATGGAAATACTTGGTAAACGACTAAAATTCCCATCCAAGTACAGGGTTAGCCCTTATACAGCGCCAAAAGGAAAGCGGTTGAAAGCCATCACTGAACCGAGTCACACCATCAATCCAATCTTCATCCATGAAAGCCTGGAGGACTGGAATGAACTGAAGGATTGGATAGAGGCAGATGACAGTCAGCCTCCTTACTCTGTGGTTTTACTTATTCCTGATGAATTTGAAGTGACTAGAGGCTTTTTTCAAGACCTTGTGACATGTAACTTATGGTTGGCAACCTATGTAAGTTCATATACACCTTTTTATGATGATATAGTGTGCAATTTGAGTACTTGACATTGTTTTTTTTTGTAGCATGTTGATGCCCTATCATTCATTTTGAATAGAGACAATGCGCCAGATAACACTACAATACTTAGCCCCTATCTTGTGGTACGTATAAGATTACGTTGGTGTAATTTACAGTATGAATAGGTTAAACCGTTGTACAACCGAATACCCACTAATACATAAACCATTTTGTAGGAACAAATAATGAGGAAGTCCAAAGGCAATGTCAAAGATTGGGCTGCAAACAAACTTTTAACCAAACAAGATTGGCGATCATTGGAAAGGGTAAAATATAAATTGTTAACACAACGCTACAAATACTTTAAATGATTAATCCAATTTAATTTTACGTGGCCAGGTTTTAATTCCTTTGAACATTGAAAACAAGCATTGGATTTTGGCTGAAGTTGTCATTGATAAGAAGCGGGTTAGGGTTTATGACTCAATGAAGACGGCAAGAAGTGTATTTTATGTTAGGGAACTGTGTGAACGCCTGCCCTACCTCCATCGGGTCTTTACGATGTCACTAGAAGAGGGTGAAACACAACCATGGGTTGCTGAGTTAGTTGAGAGTGTTCCCCAACAGGGTGGAGGGTATTATATTAAACTTTATTTACATTACATATATTGTCTATCACCTTATGGTAAATGTCTGTCTTATTTTTAATTGTCTGTCTACAGGTCAGGAGAGTGCGGAGTGATGATTGCAGCGTTTGCAGAGCATCTTTTAATGGGAAAGGACTTGCTTCCAGGTTGTGAGTATGCCAACATGTGGAACAAGAGATGTCAATATGCTGTTCGATTGTGGGGATTGAAGAAGGTGGAGGAATCATAAGAATTCTTCATTAGCTTGGGAAGCCTATTTTTGCCGGTTAATAGTCCAGCTTTGCAAACACTATGAATTTCCCTGTACGATGTGTGTGGAACTTTATGTTTTTATTTTTGTATAAGTTGCAAACTATACAAAGGTGGCATTTGAGAAAAAGCGGTTACATGACGATAATTTCAGCAAATGCAATTAAGTTTTTGATGTTAATATGTCTGGCAGGGAATACAATGTTGTCTGTGCCGGTATGTTAATATGTTCGGCAAAGTATTCGTTTTTGTCTGTCTCAGTATGTGAATATGTCTGGCAGGGTATTCGTTTTTGTCTGTCTCGGTATGTGAATATGTCTGGCAGGGTATTGAATTTTGTCTGTCTCGGTATGTGAATATGTCTGGCAGAGTATTCATTTTTTGTCTGTCTCAGAAGTTTCACTCGAACAACAAATTCCAACTACAAACCAATGAAATCACAAACGAGGAAGTTTCAATGACAAGTCATTTCAAATTCCAACTAAAAATTCATTCTTAACTACATACAACGGTCATTCATAATAAGCGTAGATTCAAATCCAACCCCTTATCATTGACACAGGGTGTTAATACACTAAAATCATAAATTTGATTTGAGGCAATGTCACTTGTGTGCATTCCACTAGGGTTCTTCCTTGATTTATTTGGTTTTGGATCCGCCTGAAAATTTCATTAAAAACTATAGTTAATAAATTAAAAGACCAAACCTAAAACACAATAATAAAATGTATATGTAATTGCATTAAACCTTTTGATTCTTCTTTGATTTTTCAAGAGGGCCTTTTATGCGGTTTTTCCTCGGTGCACCCTTCCTTTTTGTGATCTTCGGATCTTGAATTGGACCCGGCGCCTCCCCATGCACATTTGTATGTAATTGTGGAAGTTGTGTCATAACACCACAAACGGAATAAGTTGTAGTTGACCCGGCACACTTATGCAATTGGTCTTGCATCCATTGCATAACGCTTTTATACTTTTCCTCATCATCGGCAATGGCATTTGCAAGATCTTCAAAAGTCTTACACAACTTGTCATACCGTTGTTGCTGCACTGTTGTGATCCACCCATCATAGTTTATTTTCACTCGTGTGTAAGGGCGCTTTACATCTTGCCTCCATCTCCGCATGATGTACACCTCAGGCAAGATTTTAACATCGTTGCGCTGTAGAACCATAAACATATGTCTACACACAATGCCTCTAAATTCAAACAAATGACAACTACATTTGCATTCACACAAGCCAGAATCATATTCCACTATGAAGTAAACAGTCTTGTAAAAGTCCTCTGTTATTTTAACTTCTTCTTTGACATGATAAATTTTACCGCCATCCCATTGAATGATGTCACAATAAAGCTTGCCAACCACTTCATCTCGAAACTCCTTGAACTTCGCCATTGTGTATATACCTTGCATTTGTTTCTCCATAGGAAATTTCGAAACACACGGTACCAATTTTGAAAATGACTCAGCGTCCGCTTGAAACTCTTTTTCAGCCTTAAATTTTAAGGCACAACCATATTGCTCCACGAATTGTTTTAGACTTGTTTTAGAATGCACAAAAAGGTCGAAGAAAGCGTTGATGCTCTCACTTCGTTGAGTTGTGGACATACCTGCCCAGAATGAAGTTTTCAAGTAACAAGGTACCCACCTTTGGCGTTCTTCAAACATGACCTTAAGCCATTCATCATCTTGAAGTGAATACCTATAATGAATACACAACTCATTAGTTACAACCAATTTGTCTAGCACAGACAAATTTTTTCTGTCAGTTGGACATACACAAGCATTATGTCCCAGACTACTAATGTCTGTCACAGACAAATTTTGTCTGTCAGTTTGATATACACAAGCATTATGTCCCAGACTACTAATGTCTGGCACAGACAAATTTTGTCTGTCAGCTTGACATACAAGCATTATGTCCCAGACTACTAATGTCTGGCACAGACAAATTTTGTCTGGCAGTTTGACATATAAGCATTATGTCCCAGACTACTAATGTCTGGCCCAGACAAATTTTGTCTGTCAGTTTGACATTCAAGCATTATTCCCAGACTACTAATGTCTAGCACAGACAAATTTTGTCTGGCAGTTTGACATATAAGTATTATGTCCCAGACTACTAATGTCTGGCACAGACAAATTATGTCTGTCAGTTTGACATACAAGCATTATGTCCCAGACTACTATTGTCTGGCACAGACAAATTATGTCTGTCAGTTTGACATACAAGCATTATGTCCCAGACTATTGATGTCTGGCACAGACAAATGTTGTCTGTCAGTTTGACAAATAAGCATTATGTCCCAGATTACTAATGTCTATCACCTTTCCAAATGTGAATTCCAACCAACTTCAAAGTCAACAGGGAATTGAGAGTCATATACTGCATCATGTATACCGGCCATAATTTCATCTTTATGGGTAAACCCACCCAACTTCTCCGGAAGCTTCTTCATTATGTGCCATAAACACCATCGGTGTCGTGTATTTGGAAACACTAGTTGGATGGCATTTTGCATAGCACGATCTTGGTCGGTAATAATTCCGTGAGGGGCAATACCGTCCATACACTCAAGCCAAGCTCTAAAAAGCCACACAAACGTTTGCGTATCTTCACTCGAGATGAGGCCACAACCAAGCAAGATTGATTGTCCGTGGTGATTCACTCCTACAAATGGCGCGAATGGCATGTCATAACGATTGGTAAGATATGTCGTGTCAAAAGTAATAACATCACCAAAATCTTTGTAAGCATATCGACATCGATTGTCCGCCCAAAATACATTCCGTAAGCGTGACTCTTCATCCAAATCAAGCATAAAGAAGAACCCGGAGCATTGTGCTTGCATTTTTAAAAAAAAATCTTGCAATGCAACTGCATCACCAACCCCCAACCTAAGTTGACGCACCTTATCTATATAGTTCCGACAATCCTTTTCAATGAATGGAAGTTGATCATATCCACCTGCTTCTACGACCTGTGAGTGGAAACTCTTATTAAGTCGTATACCCGCGACATCATTGATTGCAATTTGCTTCATAGCTTTTGGTGTCAACCTCCTATAACACCGAAATAGTCTAGCCTTCGTTGGACTCATAGGGTGGTTATGATCTAAACAACACGTTGAAATGACCCATGCTCCTTCATAATTTATACGTGCTCTAATTTTAGCCAAGCAACCAAATTGCATTGAAGGTTGAGGTTTAAAAACATTTTGTGCCCGACTTTGTCTATTTCCCGCATGCCCGCACTGTAATGCAATTGCAATTTTGCTTCCATCCGCGTCTTTCCTTGAATTTCGTATTCTAACAGGAAACCCTACTCTTCTCCCGTATTCCTTGTAAAAATCATGGACTGCATCTTTACTTGGGAACTCCATGCCAACAAAGGGAACTTTATTACAAATCTCTTCTTCCACTTTATCTGTTATTTAATCAAAGGATACATGTTCACTTAAACACACACTTAATATAATGCATCACTTTTAAAGAGAATTACCATAATAGAACTATACATGTTCACTGTATCATTTTACTTAAAATACTTACTCAAGTAAAACAACACAAATGTGCAGTAGAATACATACATGCTTATACATAGTCATATACATTTTTCCCCATGCGAATACAGACATTTCCGCACACAGACAAACATTTTAAGTTGTCTGGCCGCACACACATTTTATGTACCACTCTACCAACTACGAAACCACGTTCAGTTGAAAGCAAGTATGAAACCACGTTGAGTTTAGGCTAGACAGACGCTGCAAATGCAAGTTGTCTGTCTAACCAACGAAATACCAAAAAATGAGGAAAAATCAACATACCCTTCTCCAAACAGTCCAAAGCTTCAACTTCCACACCTTCTTCAACTTCTTCCCTTGAAGTCGCATTCAGTTCAACACCCACCGGAGATGGGAGATTACCACCGTCACCCACAGCGTCACCCACGTCATCTCCCCATGTCAAACCATTCAGTTGACCTTCTTCCCCACTCAACTCGTCCAAATGCACCTCAGTCCCCATGATATCCATTCAAGAAGATGAAGGAGGAAGGTTTGTGGAGCTTGGCTTGAGTACTGTAGCAGCCTCGAACAAAGGAAGGGGGGTGTGTTTTTGACGGAAAAGAAGAGAGTGGGTAGAGTATGAGAGATGTGAGAGAAAAGGGGGTAAAAAGGATGGTAAAAAGGGGAGGTTTTATATGGGGTATAAGATGGGGTATATTTGAGGTACTCCTAGCATTTTTGTAGCTTAGGTTGCCACCTCTGACTTTTTAGAATTATTCTCTAGCTATGCTTTAAATTCAACATTTCCACTTAAAGATGGATTAGATTAACAAATGATGGGCCTATATGCGTAGAAGGTCAAATGTGATTATGTGAATGATGATTATAACTGACTAATACCTCCTCTTTAACAACTGATTTGCTTGCTGGAGCCTATATTAAAAAATATGCGTTTATTGGGAGATTTAATTTCTTTAATGCTGATAGTAGGACTTTGACAAATATGCACTTTCAAGATATTTTTATTATTTTAAGATCTAAACTGTGTTGACTTGCTCCACACACACATATAGTGTTATATCACTACATTTTTTTGTATACCCATGAGATTGAAACTCCATTTTGTTATTTTGAAAAGAAGTCAATAACAAAGTGATGAGTAATTTTGCTGACCATATGATCAAACCAAAGGCAAAACACAGCAGGTTTCACCCTAAATTTACCCCTATAGGTTAGAAACTTGGATGTAACAATATCATTACTCTTTACTAGTTTTACTTGTAGGCGTTGTAGCTTATGACATTAAAATTTGATTCAATGTTTGAAACTGAGGAGCAGCAACAAATGAGGAAAACAACAGTCCACAGCACAAATGAATTTTAACCATTTGGTTATTAAAGCTATAAAGCTTCGTGATGTAATATCTTTTATACAGTGTTACTTTTCCTATGTCGTGTGTATATATTTCACATTGAGGCAAAAAAAGGGGTTATAGGCAAAGGACAGTCCCCATATAAAAGAAACATATCTATATCTCAACAAAGCCTCTCTCCCTACTATGAACACTATTTGCAAAAATGGGTCAAAAGTTTTTTTAACAAATAAAAAAATTATATACATATTGCCAAATCACATAGACGATTGCCATAACCTTCCTTCAAAAGATATAACAATAATGGAGACGTCGTCATGGTACCTTCTCCGCTGCCCTTGTGGTATATCTAGCAATTCGTGAAAATCCATGCCTGCAACATAACAATAACGGTTTACTGTCAAGTGTCTCACAACAAAATATTTAAGCGATACATTTGCGTTTGTGTCGTTAAACTAGTTCCCTACCTGCTTTCTTAGCCGCTCTGAAAATTACTTCTTCAATGAGATGCTGAGCAGGATCACCATCAGGGAATATAGACATGAATGTCTCTACCTCAGAGACCGCTTCCTCGTTAGTGAAGTACTGGTAAAGCCCATCTGATGACAAGATCAAGAACTTGTCCTTAGGGCCTAGTTTGTGGTGGTGGAGCGAAGGTATGCAGTTTATGTAGGAAGCGTCCCCTTTATAGTCAACTCGGAAGGCCTCAAGAACTGCATCGTTCCACTTCGGCTGTAAGATACATAGAGATTAGGTCAATATATACATGAAAAACAACAAATATACGATTAAAATAAAAGTAGCAGACAAAATGTGACTCAATACGGAGTGACTACAGCAGTATTTCCACAAACTGATGCTCAGTTTTATACCACGCGATCATATTTTAACGACTGTATGACCTAGTCACATTTTGTGATATTTTTTAGTAATGTTAAAACAAAAACATACATAAAATGCACATAGTTTAAAGTAAGTCCTCCAATCCTGACGTACATGTTTTAGATACGCCGCCCCGAAAGCTCGGGTCACTGCTAAAGAACCTTTCACCCTGTCGTTCTTGATTGCAGAGGAATCATCGGGATGTTCTCTTTTGATTCTCTTAACTTCCTGCAAACGCATTTTAAGTGTTTTTAGAAATACTCACGAGTCATGACTAATATCAATGATAAATGTGCAGTTCATCAATCAGCTTAAGCTTTTTGCTGAGACAGTGGTGAATTCCTTACCTCAGTTGTAGAAGCGCAGTGGTCAACAGTGAGTTGATGAGAAGTCATATTGTGTTTACGGTCCGACATAGCCCGGTATAGCTTATCAATATCAACACCCATTGTGGTTCCATCACACTCGTCTGCGGGTCTTTGGGCCAATACAGCTCTGCTATCCCCAACATTCATCAAGAACACATCCTGACCCTTCATCAGCATTGCCAAAACACAAGATCCCATTAACGCCAATTCCGGATTCTCATTCAGCATCAGATCAGTTATGTTCAAATAATCCATTTCAGTTTTCCTTAACCCCTCTGATAGCGCGTTCAAGACATCGGGTTCGGGCTTTTCAGCCCATTGTGATAGTCCCTTGAGCTCTTTGAAGACATTTGTGTATAGGTTTTGTAACAAGAAGTCTGTTGCATCTGGACCATTGAAACCATCATAAATCCCAACAAAAACCAAATCGTGTTCCTCCGAAATTACGACATGAACTCGGTCTTCTCCTGCTTTGCCCTGGGCCCATTGGACACTTTGGCCCCTAAAGGATGAGTCTTTTCCTATATCATCATTATCTTCTTCAGTTAAACTAGCTTGACTGCTTATGCTATGAACTCCATAGCAGTTCTTGGTTTCGCTTTCTTTCAAATCCGTGGAGAAGAATTTCTTCAAATCGCGGAATAAATTCCAATTCTCGGATTTGGGCTTGTACCTTTGGACCTGATAGTATTGGTTATCCAGGATCGGAGCAGATAAGAACCCGCCCTCAATATGACTAGACCCTAAACCCGAAACCCCGGGAATCGGCCCGGACCGGACAGATGGGATGCAGCTCCGGGGAACTGGCTGCAAAGGGATGGAGGAAAAGAACTGTGAACTCTCGAAAGCTGAAGCCTTTT